TGGATGGATGGATTGATGATGGATGGATGGATGATGATGGATGATGAAACCTGCAGGGTGGCGGCCCAGAGGGGACCAAAGATGGACGCTCTTAGCCACCAGTTTTGGTCAACTTAGCTCAGCTTGTTGTTTTCTTCTTCTACTTCTTCTTCTACTGACCCACAGCAGAGGTCTTTGATGGTCAGAGTGGATCTGACCCCGTACAGCAGCAGCCAGCCGGGGACGCCCCCCAGACCCCTCCTGCCGCCCCCGAGGCCGAGCAGAGCCCGCCCGCTCCAGCTGAGGACGCCACCGAGGACGCCATGGCCACCAATGGGGACGCCATGGCCGCCACCGGGGACGCCACCAATGGGGACGCCGCTCCCACAGCCGAGGCCCCGCCCCCCTCCGAGCCGCCGTCCTCAGGTGCGATTCTCATCACCGGCTTTCAGACGGTGGCTTTTAGTAAGAGCCCCGCCATGCTGCTCTGACCCCCCCCCCCCTACCTGCTCTGTGGCCTGACCCCCCCTCCCAGTCGTGTCCACGCTCTGTTCTGCTTCTCTCAGCCAATCAGCCGCCGCCCTCCTCTGGCTGCTCGCCGCTGCTCCTTTGATGGACTGTAAACACTGAGTCCCTGTTTGGATGCACTCCCTGTGTGGCTTAAACCCTCTCCCTGCACCCCCCCATGACCCCCCCCGCCCCCGCTTGCCTTTCCCTCTCCGGCTTCTCTTCCTCTGACTGTGTGATCACCCGTTTGCAGACTCTGGGAGCCCTGTTATTCTCTCCGGCCGACCTGAGCTCGTTCCCACCGAACAGAGAGAATAAGAGGAGCCAAAGCCAGAGCCGAGCCAGATGTTTCCAGATGTACTGCCCAGCCCATTGCACTTTCCAAATTACCAAGAAGAGACACTGATAACAAACTGGACTCAATACTGATTTTCCTGAATCTTTAGAGCAGAAAACAGTAAAAACAAAGTCCCTTTCTGCTTTATTTGGATGGAAAAAGCTGCTGTCTGAGTAAAATGTCTGTTTTGTAATAGAAAAAATGTGTTGCTTTTGGTGGAACTCAGACTTTTTAGACTGAGAAACGTGACTTCAAACGGGACTTTTAGGGAGTGGGTGGTGTTTCTGGGTGTGTTGACGCTGCTCCTGAAAGCCTCATTTCACTTTCTCTGACACACTGACCCTGTTTGAAATGCCCTGCTCTCCGTTTTTAAGCCTTTATTCTACCATTCAGGCCTCAAAACAGCGTCTCCTGAGTCCCATCTCTGCATTTTGCAGATGATGTGGTTCTAAATCTGAGGCCGTTTTTCTCATTTGGAATAAGTTTCTGCTTTTAGCCGTCCCGTTTGGTTCCTGTTCTCTGTGAATGCTAACTCTCTCCTCCTGCTTGCTGGCTGTTTGTTTTTGTCCTCTCTGTGTCTGACTGTGTGCTTTTCTAACTCCTCCCCGCCCTGAGCTCATCCCAACCCCAAAGATTTGGTCAGAAATGTGCATTTATGCTAACGACTCCACATTTACTGTCTCCTGGGTGAGCGCTCTGGTCCAGAGCACTTTGTGGCATCGTGAATCATTAGTGTGAACGTTTCCGGCTCAGAGCCACCGGTCATCACATCTGCTGGCCGGGTTCCAAATGATCCAAGTCAATAAACCGCAGATTGAAAGTCCGGCCATTATCCATCTGTTTATAGCCGCTCGGCCAGGCTCTGGGGGGGGGGGGGGTTGTTATCACTTTGAGCTAATGGCAAAGTTCAGTGATGAACATTTGTTGTTTCTTAACTCGCTGCAAAGTCAAAAAGAGCTCAACTCCGGTCGTCTGAGGAGGTTTATTTTAGGGTATAAAACAACCAATTCCCAATGAGTTTAATCGTTATTTATCCTGATCGTTATTTTAATCTGAAGTTACAGTTCAGTCTTTTTTTGTTACTTTAGTTTTTATTGACAACACAAAACAAACAATTTGATAAAAACAATGACAAATGCAAATATGAACATGTGGGAATGTTGTTAGCAAAATGTCAGTGAAAAAACTGGGCTTTTTAAAACAAATTTATATATATTCATCCAATCCATCCTCCATATTTTCTTTCCAAAACAATAAAAATACAAAAACCAAAGTAAAACAGTTTTTTCTACATTTTATAATTTCCTCTGCACAGAAATAATCAGAATCAATGCATTTTCCACTAACATTTTCACCTCTTTACCGTAAAATTATTAGAATATAAATTATATTAACATAATGAGCTTCAAGTTATAATGAATAATATTTTTTCTCATTGCAAAAGTTTAAGCCATTTTAAATCAACAATAGCAGACTTTACTTAACCCAGATAATCAGAATCACTGCATTTTCCACTAATATTTTCACCTCTTTACCGTAAAATACTATTAGAATATGCAAAAATATATTATGAACATAATTACTTTTACGGTAGAAAGTTATAATGGATATTTATTATATTAAACAACAATAAAAAAAACTTAAGACTTAACCCAGATTCAATAATACTTTACCCAGCTTCATACATTTTTATTAAATATAATCTGAAGTGTCTCAGTGAGGGAGGCGGGGGGGGCGAGGACCTTCAGAAGGCTCTATCGGGGGGGGGGGGGGGGGGGGGGGGGTAGTTTTCAGCTGATGATGTCATACACTTTACTGAGATTTAGTGCTCTTTCGGTCCGTTAATCACAAAGGAAAACACAAACTGCTGGTCAGGGTCGGCTCTCTCCCTGGAAAAGAGTTTTTTTTCCACCCAAAGTGCTCAATAATGAGGAGGTCGTCCTCCTTTGTCCTCCGCCGAGTCGTTTGTGATGGACGGCAGAAGCCTAATGAGCTCACAGCTGTCGTGCGCGTCCACGTGCGCGTGCACGTCCACATTAGAGCGTTGGTGTCAGGGTGGAGACATCAGGAAACCGGGGAATTAGCGGCGAGGTTAGCTGCTAAAAGGCTTTTTCAGAGGAAATGAGCCGCAGGGCGGATGCTGGGAGGGACGTCTGGAGTCAGATCGAATTATCCTGGGATGTTTCAGGGCCTGCAGAGCAAAGAATCTGATAATGGATGGAGACGGATGACGTGAAACGCCTCCAAACACTGAACAGGGAGCTCCTACCAAGACCAGAACCCAAAAGCCCAATCCTCATCCATCAGACTAAAACCGAGTCGTCCAACATAAAAGGACGAAACGTGGACAGCCGGACATAGTTTGGTGTCAGTTACTCCTCCATGAAAGCTCTGAGTCTTTATTTTGATGTGAATAAAAGACAGTTTTCCAATGCAAATATGTCCAGAAACTGGTAGGATGAGCTTAAAGCCATCACTCCTGGACCAGATCAGCTGTCTCCCAGAATTAACTCAGAAATCGTTTTCCACCGTCAGATTTGCAACATTTTTTGTGGTTTAAACTTGTCAGGGACAGCACATCAAACTGGAACCACTTCAGATAGCCAAACAAGATGAAAGAAGAAGAATACTCAAGGGGAAAATAAGAGACACAAATGTATCAATAAATAACAGAAAAACAAGTTAAAATAAAATTAATAAATATGTAAGATTTTGAAAATAAATAGAAAGAGATATTGTGATGGTCGATTAAATGATTAAACGCATTTTTAAGTAAGATAATTCTTTTTAGTTGGAAATTAAAGTGGAATTATTGTTGAAAAAAGTATTCCTGGGGTCTACAAGACAAAACAAAAATCACCTAATTCAACATTGTAGACAATTCTTATAGATGTCATCAGAAATCATGTGAATAAGTTTTGATATCCATATCTATTAATTCTCACTTCCATACCGTTAATTCACTCCTCACAAATTCAAATAACGCATTTTCAAGTTATAATTAAAAGATACTTTACAGATTTTTCAGGTAATTGGCTCATTTTCAGTGTCTCGGTTTATTCTTTGGCCCATTTATTTCTAATCAGTTTCACTCTTCTGAGCTCTGAGTCCCTTTTGGCTCCGCCTGTACACCAGAGTTCTTCACATGTTTTAGCGGTAATTTGCGGTTATTTGTTTAATATTTCATAAATATTTAATATTTTGTTGAGTCGTTTGGACTCGGACGCTTCCATTTCTGGGGTTAAAATCCCAAACATTTCAGGCAGAGGAAAGTTTTAGAAGAAAAAGTCGTCCAAAGGGGGTAAAAAGCTCTAACGTGATGTTTACATCTGTTTATTTCCCACCTGTGGAGCTGCGCTTTGGACAGAAACGCGTCTCCTGGTTTTCTCAGTGAGGCTTTCTGAGGCCACTTCCTCCCTGTGTTTGCCCCCCCCCACAGGCTGAGGCTGGCGGAGCGGCTGGACCGGGCAGGACGAGGAGCATCACAGTCCCCATCGCTGGAGCGGCCATCAGAGACCTAAAAACCAGCTTAAACCCACCAGGAAGAGCAGCAGGACGGGCGCCCCCCCCCCACCCCCCCCCCACCCCTCACTGTCTGCCCTCACTCTGCTTCATCCAGCCCGTCGGCTCAGAGCTAAACGAGGGCTCTGAGTTGTTCTGTTTTGTTTCTGTGGGGGGGAACAAACTGAGCGTGCTCAGTTCGGTTTTTCTGATGGGCACAGGCTTCTTCTTCTGTGGTTCCGGTGAGCCGGTGGGCAGCCTGGTGTCCCGGTTAACGTCGGAGGCGTTTCTGTAGAAACTGGAAACGGGCCCCCCCCCCTGACCTCCGTCCAGTAGGAACCGGTTTAGAGCTCCCCAGAGGGTCACTACTCAGCATTATCCGGTTTGTGAGTCTGAAAGCCCAGACCAGGGGCAGAACCGGAGGTCTGAACTTCTTTATCTGCAACCCCTAGATTTGTGTCATTTTAACTACTTTAATGCAGAAACGTCCCGGAAAAAATCCACTAAGCTTCATCCTTTTAGATAAATAAGATCAGATTTCATCATCTGTTAAAAAAAGACGGAAAGGATCTCGAAATCCTCTGAGGTCGGCCATTTTGGACAGCTTAATGTTTTAAAATGAGGGGCTCGTTTAGTTTAATTTTTTGTTTGTTTTTTTAAACTTGGCTTCTCTAAAAGGTTACCGAGACATAAATGGGGTTTAAACTTTAAACCGGTTTGCCAAAGTTTGCCAGCTCGCTGTCTGACAGGGTGAAAGGTCAGGGTACAGATGCTGCCTTCGTGGAGGGTCGGACTCCCGAACGCTCCGAGGAAAGGGGCCGTTTTCCTGGTGGTCATGTGACATCTGTCCAGATCCAGCTGTGTCCCCAGATGCTGCCTCCTGAACAGTGTGTGTGTGTGTGTGTGTGTGTGTGTGTGTGTGTACAATCCAGGTTCTCAGTCAAAAATGTTGGTTATGTTTGGTTTGTCGTCAAATCCTTTATTTTTATGCTTTTCGATTCAGTTTCTTACCGAATTAAATGTCTCCGTCGCACAACAAGGGCTTTGTTTTGTTGTGGTTGTTGTGTTTGTCGCCCCCCCGATCGGCCTCTGAATCGTGCAGCCTGAGGCCGATCACCCGTGGGGACGAAAGAGTTGCTTTAATGTCTTTGTTTTTCTTGTTCTGAGGAATAAAAAGCTGCATTTCGGTTGAAAGAAACTGCAATATGTACAGTTTTTTTTTGTTTTAACTTAATGGAAATGACCATTCCGCAGATGAGTGTCTGTAAAAGTGGATCTGAGTGTTTTTTTTCTGCTCATTTAAAACAAAAAAGGATTTTCCCTTCTCCTCAGTTGTGGTGCAGGAATATGCAAACGGGTTCTGTTCGCCTGCCTCACACACACTTTCATTTTCATGACGTTTTAACGCTAAAAACAGGAACTAAAGACGTCGTTCATCCGCCTTTGCTACCTTTGACACATGCTGCTTCTGTACAGATGACTGTTATTCCCCATTAAATCAGACTGGATGCTTTAGAGTGACTTTTTTTTCTGTTTAAACCACACAAATCAAAGTAGTTTCCTAGATTTATTTTATTTTAAGTTGCTTTTTATCATTTCCTCAATAGGCCCTGAACGTCCTGAACTCATACACATTCTTATTTTGAATCAAAGTGAACTCAAAATTTGTTTTATTTCAATTTTAAATTCAGCACAGCCAATGAGGAGTGGTGGGCGGGGCCTGGAGGGGACCAATCAGAGCCCACTGTGCGTTTAAATGGACCCTTTTTCCACAGATAAACTGTCTTAGTACCATCAAAACATAGTTTGGGCATCATGTCTCACAACTAAAGCACAAAAATAAAAAAAACAGGAGTTTAACAATGAACTCGAGATTTTTTTTTCTCCAATCAGATAAAATGTGGATGTTTGTGAAAGAAAATATTACCAATTAGAAAATAATTATTTCCCAAAAAATCGGAATTTCCATTTGATACTGGCTTTGATATTAGATCGCCATGGAAACCTCTGTGGACCTACCCGTCCTCTGTACATATAGAAAGGAAATTCTTCCTTATGAGGAGAGGTCAGATCATTTCAGAGGTAATTTCACACCAAATGAGGACACATTTAGAAATGAGAAGAATGATTTTAGCTAAAAAATTTTTTTACGGACCGTCAGGCCGGACGCGTTTGACCCCGTGACCTTGAGCTGGAGGACAGGAAGCAGAGGGCCCTGATCCATTTCCAGCTAACTGCGTTATTGGGGTGGGGGGGGGGGGGGGGGGGGGG